GGTTTTGGTTTTAAAGTGTTGTCTTTGTCTAGTCTTTCCCCCTTCCCTTGTCTATTGTGAGCCGCCCGGAGTCCTTCTGGAGTGGGCGGCATACAAGACAAATAAATACAAATACAAATATATTTTTCTGAGGTTGTTGTAACTTTGAATTGATGTTAAATGAAGGGTTGTAAGTTAAGGACTACCTGTACCTCCTTTTGAAAATTGAAAGTCTTAGAGAAATGAAATGGTACTGATAAGATATCAGAGTTGGCATCTATTGTCTGGTCCATAGGTCAGGACACATTAGAGGGACAAGTACCCCAATCAACCCAGGGGTGGGTTGCTCCCGGCATTACTACCAATTCGGTGCGTGCAAAAAAACTGTATACACATGCTCGCTTTGCTCGCATTTTGTGCACATTTGCCCCAAAATAGGTCTGTGCATGCAGAAAATGTTTAAAAAAGAAAAAATAATAATAATTTTGTGCAATTACAATTTTTCTGCACATGCGCAGAACCAAAAATCAAGATGGCGGCCCCGTAGGAGAAATGGTTCGGGAGGGTGGCAGGCCTGGGTGGCTGCCGGTTCCAGCGACCCAGGCCGCAAAACCACTACTGGTTCAGCTGAACCGGTAGGAACCCACCTCTGAATCAACCCCTCCCAGTTTTTGTCTGCAGTTGTATGCCGATCTGTGATTGTAATAAAGATTTGATTTGCTTATAGCTGCCCACAGGCTCATCATTGGATGAAGGAGGCAACCTCATGCTGGCTCACTGCAAGGGAGAGGGAAATTACTGAAATCAAAAAGATAATGTCACCTTTTCTTCAAGCCTCTCCTTCTCCTTGTAGCTAAAACTAAATTTGAGGGTTTTGACTATGCTCAAACTGCTTTTCTTATCTGCTGATATAATGTCATAGATGTTCGGGAACCACAAAGGGCAATGGCAATTTAAGAAAATGTAGCATGCAGTCAGATATTTCTTTGCCATGATAGTCATAAATACAGTTAATGGTCTGATCCTCCTCAGACTCACTTTGCATTTTTCTTATCATCCTGATATTCTTTCTTCATCTGATAGTTTTTTGAAGGCAAGGAGCTGCGTCTGAAGCAGGAATACTTTGTGGTAGCTGCCACCTTACAAGACATTATCCGACGGTACAAAGCCTCCAAGTTTGGGACTACTGAAAGTGTCCGGACTGCTTTTGATTCCTTCCCAGACCAGGTCATTGCATTTGGAGTGATATATCTGGGGAGGGGGGTGGAATTGGGTTGAGGCATGTCATGATCTGGCAGGCAGAACTTGGTAGTGAAGTGGGATACTATCTTGGGTATAGAAAACCAGTGGGATGAAGTCAGAAAGTATTAAGCTAGGACCAGGAAGACCCATGATCATATCTAGACTCACTCAGCTTTAGAAGCTCTTTGGGTGATGTTGACCAGATACTGTCGCTCTACTCAATCTCAAGATTTGTTCTGGGGATAATATTGGAGATGGGAGTGTTAAGTGGGCCACCTTAAGTCTTAGAGGAAAGGGAATTTTGAATCTAACAAATAAAACAAAAGTAAACTGAGAATAGTTTGATTACTTATGAAGTTTAATCAGGGCTTTTGCCCAATAACCTTTTTATTAAGATGTTCCTCTGGGACAGGGGTATCAAACTCGATTTCATAGAGGGCCATTTCTCTGCACATCTGGAGTTTCTCAGGCATTGCGTTGTCTGAAGTCCCGTTCTGGACTGGGCATTCTTTCTGCAATCCCTTCGCTTTGCGCAAGCGGGAACCAGCGTGGAATTGGACTGCCTGAGTCAAAGGGGTCCACGGGATCTTGAGACTTGATTTTTGAGCAGTACCAATCCTTTCCACTCTTTCCTTTCTCTTTCTGTCTTTCTTCTATTTTTCCTTTCCTTTTCCTTTTCCTTTCATTTCTCCTTTCCTTTCCTTTTTCCTTTCCTTTTTCCTTTCCTTTTTCCTTTCCTTTTTCCTTTCCTTTTTCCTTTCCTTTT